TGTATCTGGCAGTGTCTCAGCGTTTCTCTTCCACTCTCACAGCTATGAAGTTGATTGAATGCAATGTAGAAATAATTAGGATCACAGGCATCTTGATTATAAACATTTCAGCCCTGCCTGGATCACGGCAGGCAGCTCTAAAATTAACTTTTACTCACCTTTCACCACTTACCAACAAAACATTTGAAGATAAGTTTATTTCTTGCCAAACTTTCTGAAGTGAATAGAATGAATGTAGAGAAGAGCATCATGCAGACTTAACAACAAAATCCCATCAGGATCCCCTGTGGAACACCGGCCATACTGAGCGTGCAATAGCAGCCCCAGCAGTAGGAAGCAGAAGGGGGCTTCCTCTTAAATGGCAAAGTCTGTGAATTATTTCTGGTTACTGTTTTAGGAATTAAGTTACAGAATACATAGAAAAGTACGTATCAGCTGAGGACAATATGAACACTAATTACTCACTACCAAGGCTGGGGTTTTTCACTTGTTTGTTAAAAAAAAAAAAACCAACCAACCAAACCCAAACCAAATAAACAAAAACCCACAAACAAACAAACAAAAAAAACCCACGAAACACCAAACCCAGTTCTAACCAAGACCTAAGCAGCAGGTGGTATTTTCTTGAATTTGAGTCGTACATTTGTAAGTCACATCCTACACAAAAGCATGTGAACAATCATGCATATCTTTTGTAACACAGAAATTGTTTATCCTTGATTTTCTGGATTATTTTTGTGATTTTGCAGGGTTTAAAATGCCACTCCCTTTTGAAAGTGACTCTAGGACAGCATCAAGTGAGTATATGAAGATCAACACCTTATATAATTTTTTACCTTAGCAGTAAATAAGACCTATTTGGTTGCTTGGAAGCCAAGAGGTGGTATATTACCTTTGGCAGACTTCTGGATGAAATGGAGACTTTTGTTAAAAATTCTGTAACTTTTATAAGAAAGAAAACAACAAAAACTATTAAAAAGTTGCTTATGTTAAGTATGCAAACCTTTTAAAAATCATATCCTAGTTATGTTCTGGCAATTTTTCTTCTGCTTTTGAAAAGCAGGAATTAATATAATCGGTTCATAGAAATGTTTTGATAAGTCAACTAGCAAGGGTTAAAAAAATATAGAATAGTTTAAACTGGAACCCTTAAAATTTAAACATTTGTCAGATGCCCGAATTTTCCAATGTCTTTCATTTTTTTTGTTTTAGAATGTCTGTAAGATATAGAACACGCCACAAACCATCTTGTGAATGAAATTTTTATTTACACACTGTATCCAGAAGCAGATACATAAATCCTTATACAATTATTTTTCAAAAATGTGCAAGAAATTACTATAATTTCATTTACAAACCAAAACACATTAAAATCAATGGACTTTGGATAATTCACTCTGTGGCGTGCTTAGTACAAATAGTGCACACCAGGTCTGAAACAGAGAAAAGTGTAAACTACAGCAATCTGGATTGCAAGTATTAACTTCATGGCACTCCATCATCACTATAAAAATTCTTTAACCCAACAATTTTGTAGTTATACAAAATTCTTTAAGAATTTTTCATTATCTGTGTAGAATTTAGAACACTTTCCAGATACAATGCCATATTTCCCATATTATGAGCTACCATCTAGCCCGTATTTTGTTTATAAAGAATGCCTGTAATTTTTATTCTTTGCAGTCGTAAAAAGATTTTAAGATATTAAATTGACAATCATTAATTTATCCATACCTTAGCTCAGAATTTGAAAGTTCAGTAACAGAGAAATACTTCTCATCAGAATCATAGCCCATACATTGCTGGTATGCTGTTTAAAACTTATAATTCCAGTATTCACATAGATGAAATGCATCAAAACAAAAACTGCACAGATTTCACTTAGCCCTGCAATCAATATTCACAGAAAGAAACTGGCGTTAACAAAATGTAAAGTCAGCTCATCTGAGAACAAAGGGTTTAATTAATAATTACATTTCTGATCCTTTTGACAGAAAAACATTTTGATATAAAAAGGTGGCATTCACTATGTCAATGGCAGGATAAGTGCTATATCCTTCAAATAGATCAAAGAATACAAATCACTTTCAGTTGTTTATAACAAAACAAAACAAAAAAAACCCAACACACACAGAAAACTGTGCAAATTTAGTTTTATATTTCCAAATATAAGGTGTTGGTTTACTCTTCTAATTGGTAAAACAGACAACGTTATCAATAAAGTCAATCATTTCAGATGCTCAAAAAAGGACTTTTGTTTCAAAGCTTCATTTTCAAAAAACATTTTCCACAATCCAGTTACATAAATGCATACCTTTTGAACCCTTAAACTGTTGTGCTGAATAAATAGCCATATTTCTACTCTATAAGGATCATAGTCAGTTAGCTTTTATTCCTAGTGTATCTACTTCCAAAGGTCCCCAAAATATCCTCAATCATTTTCCTTTTATTTGTCAAGGACACTTTGTTCCTCTAATTTTCAAGAAGCAGAAGTCAACACATTTGTTGTGGTTACTCCAAATACTTCTAAATTGTCTCATAACTAAAAGTTACTGCGTTTCTTTTATATTAATCTTTATTAGAAGAAATTGTAAGTATCTTTAATGTTTTCAAAGTCAATTTTCTGGGTTCCTTCTCGTGGCGGGCCAGTTACCTCAGCATGAAAAAATACTGTGAGGTTCTGATTAACGAAACCTGTAAAAATAATTATTTGTGTCTACTTACTACTGTTTTAAAGTATTTTGAGCTTAGTAGAAATATCGCCACCATTTTTTATCTAGAAACAAAGTGCTATACAGGTCTCACATCCTAGGCCTCAACCACTTCACAGTGTTCCTTTTGTGGAAGCTTTCTGCGCGGGGGGAAATGACAAAGTCAATGACCTGATTAAGTTTGCAGATGAAGAACACAGCAAGGAAGGCAATTCAAAAACTGGAGAGCTGAACCAAAGTTTGGGGGGAAAAAAAAAAAAAGCGAAAAAAAAAAAAGCATCAACACATATGATTGAACAAACTGAAATTTATACAGGCATGGGCAAGAAATTTAGCAAGTGTGTTCTTGCATGTTTTTCAATTCAGCAATAAGACCAGGATATTACAGCTTCAACTATTTAAGTTTCACTGCAATGACTGCTAAATTAATGCATGTGGCATAGTATAAACATATGTTTAATGCATTCAATAGTGGTATTAAATGGCAAAGAAAATATTTAATATACTATAATCTTTCAAAGATTCTGTAGAATGCATAGGCCCTCTAGCTTGTACGGGGAAAGAATTTTTAAAGTGAAGAAAATGCCAGAGGTTTTCTTCCAAAAGTATGCATCTGAAATCCATAAAAATTATTTTCTTTTTCCTCCCCACAGACAGAATCAGAACACTGTACCATACAATAGGTTATTGTGCCTTTTTGAATAAAGTTAGTGATCCTGATTCAGGGGGGTCTGGGGGGGAAGTCAGTAGAGGAAAAAAGGAAAACAGAATTCACCCTTGCATACATATATCTCAATGGCAGAGCCAACAAATTACGCACATAGACTGCTCTAGTTTTTTTTTAAGTTTAAAACTTTATTAGACTAAAGAAGAATGCTTATTCTCTCTCCCTTAAAAGCAAAGGCAGCTTTTATCTACCTTTGATTTTCTTTTTTTTATTATTTTTTAGTTAAACATTATGGTCAAAAAATAAATTAAAAAAATATAAATTTAGTCTATCAATTCAGGCAACCCAAGATGTAGTGCTATTGCACCACCTTGCAGCAATACTGTATTCATTACTAAAGACTCATTTCAGGGGACAAAAGGCTAGATTAAACAAGAAAATGACCTAAACAAGAAAGCTGTATCAAAGATGAACAGCCTTTTCGAAGCTGATGTTTACTATCATCCCCTACCAGAGATGGGGAAGATGACATTCTAAAATATAAAAGAGGGGGGCAAAGGCAGGCAAAGCAAGCCTCCCTCCCAAGCCAACCACGATCCCTTTAACAAATAACTCATAAAAATGATGGAATCATGGGGGAAAAACATCTGAAACAAACCAGGAAAATGCCATGGATTAACCTTGCATGATGAAAATATTACGGTGTAGAATTTATACTCCCCACT